GGGGGGGGGGCAGGCCTCTGACCCTGGGCGGCCCCATGCTGTGTCCGCTCGGGGCCTCTGGGCAGAACCCTTGATGTTGGGAGCCTCCCATTCCCCACACTGCACCCGGCTGGCAGGTGGTTTTTTAGAGTAATCATCATAATAATAATAGTAATAGTCGGGCATGGTGGCTCACACCAGCAATCCCAGCACTTTGAGAGGTGGAGGCAAGAGGATCGCCTGAGCCCAGGGGTTTGAGACCAGCCTGGGCAACTTGGCGAGACTTTGTCTCGACAATAAATCAAAAAATCGGCCGGGTGTGGTGGCGCACGCCTGTTGTTCCAGCTACTTGGAAGGGTGAGGTGGAAGGATTGTCTAAGTCTAGCAGGTCGAGGCTGCAGTGGCCATGAGTGTGCCACTGCATGCCAGCCTGGATGACTGAGTGAGACTCCAATCCACACACACACACACACAAATAATGTTAGCCACTACCTATTCAGGGCTTGTGAGGTGCCCATAACTGTGCAAAGCTTGTGGCCTGCATGAGCCCGCCTCATGTCACATCAGCCCCATGAGACAGTCACTGATGGGAAACAGAGATCCAAATGGCTGAAGTGACTGGCCAGACACTCGGAGCCCATGGTGGGGCAGTTGAGGCTTACCCCTGGGTCTGTCTACCCCAGAGCACACGGGGCCCAGTGATTCTCAGGTGGGTCTGAGGAGCTCCAGGTGGTGGAACACTTTGAAAGGCTGAGTGGCCGGGCACAGTGGCTCAGCCTATAATCCCAGCACTTGGGAGGCTGAGGTGAGAGGATTGCCTGAGCCCGGGGCTTCAAGCCCAGCCTGGGCAACTTGGTGAGACCTCGTCTCGACACTAAATCACAAAAAAAAAACATCAGCCAGGCATGGTGGCGTGCGTCTGTAGTTCCGGCTATTTGGAAGGCTGAGGCGGAAGGATCGCCGGAGCCCAGCAGGTTGAGGCTGTGGTGACCGTGAGTGTGCCACTGCCCTCCAGCCTGGGCAACAAGAGTGAGACTCTAACTCCGAAAAAAAAAAGGAAAAAGAAAGGCTGAGTATACCGGTGGGCGCTCAGCTGAGGTTGGGCATCGCTGACAGGTGAGGCTGTGCATACAGGCTTCCTGGAGGACGGAGCCAGGCCAGGCCTTGAAGAACAGGATGCGTCGAGGGGCAGGTCAGGGAGTGTCCCCAGGGGGACAACTCCACACAGCCTCAAGCTCAGACTCCTTGGTCCTGGCATTCAAGGCTGTTCAGGCCCTGACCCTTCTGCAGTTCTGGGCCCTGGCTATTCTCCAGAGTACCCTGTACCTCCTGTGCCCATTGGGTCTTTGCTCAGGTTATTTTCTGGGATATGTTTCCCCTCTTACCAGCAGAAACAAGGCTGGGTGTGGTGGCTTACACCTATAATCCCAGCACTTAGGGAGGATGAGGCAAGAGGATCACTTGAACCCAGGAGTTTGAGACCAGCCCGGGCAACATGGTGAGACCTCGTATCTCTAAAAAATAAAGAAAACTAGCCAGGCATGGTGGCGCATGCCTGCAGTCCCAGTAGGAGGCTGAGGCGGGAGGACTGCTTGAGCCCAGAAGGTTGAGGCTGCAGTGAGCCGTGATCGTGATCGTGCCACTGCACTCCAACCTCAGCAACAGAGTGAGACCCTGATAAAACAAACAAACAAGATCAACTGTATTTCTTCCAATTCTCCTCCAGCGGGTGTCCTACGACTCCGTTCACCTGTGACACGGCCTGGAGTTAGCTCAGACCCCCCAAGGCTGCCCTTCAGGTGCCGGTTGCGGGTTCAGGGTTGTCGCCTATGTTTCTGACCTGCTGGCTGTGAGCAGGGCTCCCTGAGACCTCATCCTCAGGCGCGATCATTTGCCACAATGGCTCCCAGAACTCGGCAAATGTGTACTTGACATTTGCTGTTTATTATCAAGGATGTTACAAAGGCCACAGACGAACAGCCAGATACAGAGGGACACATGGCCACACCGGAACACGGGTGTGCTCACCAGCCAGAAGCTCTCAGAGCCGTGGCATTCAAGGGCTTTATGGAGGGTCTGTGCACGGGCATGCGCGATGGAATTGAATTGGTCGATCACCAGGGAGTCAGTCTCCAGCCCTTACCCTCCCCAGAGGTGGGAGGGGCTAAGAGTTCCTCTGAGAAGCGCCATATTAGCATAATCATAGATGCAGTTGAGAGGAGCTTCTTGATGTGCTCGGTGGCTCAAGCCTGGAACCCACCTGCTGGGCTTAGGGGATCCTTCCACATCAGCCTTCCAAGCAGCTGGAACTACAGGCACATGCCACCATGCCCAGCTAATTTTTTGGTTTACTGTAGAGACGCGGTCTCACCAAGTTGTCCAGGTTGGTCTTGACTCTCTGGGCTTAGGCAATTCTCTCACCTTGGCCTCCCAAAGTGCTTGGGTTACAGGCATGAGCCACCGTGATCAACCTGTACACTTTAAACTTGAGCAGTTTGTGCTTGTCAATTATATTTATTTATTTATTTATTTTTTTTTGAGTCAGAGTCTCACTCTGTCACCTAGGCTGGAGGGCTGTGGCACACTCACAGCCACTGCAGCCTCGACCTTCTAGGCTTAGGCGATCCTTCCACCTCAGCCTTCCAAGTAGCTGGAACTACAGGCGTGCACCACCACGTCTGGCTAATTTTTTTATTTACCGTAGAGATGAGGTCTCGTCATGTTGCCTAGGCTGGTGTCTAACTCAGAGGCTCAGGCAATCCTCTCGCCTCCACCTCCCAAAGTGCTGAGATTACAGGCGTGAGCCACCGTGCCCAGCAGATAATATTTCTTACTCTGTCACCTTCAGTTCCACCCCACTCCACGGAGAACCCCCCAGCTCCAGCTTAACCTCTCCCCTCCCTTCCTTGAATGTGTCCTGCACATCCCACCTCAGGGCCCTTCTGTGAGCAAGTCCCTCAGCCCAGAGTGCTGCTAACCTGAGGTCTGATCTCTGAGCGTGGTGACCCTGATTTCTCCAGGAATCTCCAGCAGAACTTGAAAGTTCACTCGTTCATTCTAGAAATGATTGAGTACCTCCTTTGAACCAAGCACTGTTCTACCTTCTGGGAATGTAACAATAAGATTAAGGCCTATAAGAAAATAAATTAGAGCCGGGCTTGGTGGCTCAGCCTGTAATCCCGCGCCTTTGGGAGGCTGAGGTAAGTGGATTTCCTGAGCCCGCGGGTTCAAGACTGCCTGGGCAGCGAGACCTCATCTCTACAATAAATCAAAAAATCAGCCGGGCGTGGTAGCGCATGCCTGTAATTCCGGCTACTGGGAAGGCTGAGGCGGAAGGATCGCCGGAGCCCAATAGGCGAGGCTGCGGTGGCCGGGAGTGGCCACTGCACTCCAGTCTGGGCGACAGAGTGAGACTCCAACTCAAAAAAAAAGAAAACAAATTAGGCTGGGCATGGTGCCTCATGCCTGTAATCCCAGCACTTTGGGAGACAGAAGTGGAGGATCACTGGAGGCCGGGAGATCAAGATCAGCCTGGACAACATAGCAACAACCCCCATCTCTATTTAAAAATGAGGCTGGGCGTGGTGTCTCACTTTGGGAGGCCTAGGCGAGGGGACTGCCTGAGCCCAGAAGTTTGAGACCATCCTGGGCAATATGATGAGATCTTATCTCTACAATTAAGAAAAAAAAATTAGCCTGGTGTGGTGGCCTGTGGTCCCAGCTACTTGGAAGCCTGAGGCAGAAGAATTGTTTGAACCCCAGGAAGTGAGGGCTGCGGTGAGTTGTGATGGTGCCACTGCACTCCAGCCTGGGTGACAGAGTGAGACTCTGACTCAAAAAAAAAAAGAGTTTGGTAAATCAACAGCATGCACTGCCAGAAGTGGGAGGTGGGGACCCCAGGGCTGAGCTGGCCCCGGGGCCAAGCTGGTCCCAGGTCCTTGGATCGATGTTCCTGAGGCACTTTCTGCACCCACCTGCTTCCAGTGTACCGGCTCCAGTTCCACGAGACCTTCGCGGAGATGAACCGCCGCTCCAATGAGTGGAAGACAGTGGTGGGCTGTGTCTTCTTCTTCTGCGGGTTCACGGCTCTGTTAATCTGGTGGCAGCATGTCTATGGTGAGTGGCCGCACCTCGCCCAGCTGTGGGCTGGACCTTGGTGGCCAGAGCCCCCAGCCAGGCTCTTTAGGGAGCCATGGTAGCACTCATCTGAAGAGTAGAAAATTCCCCAGGGATGTGGAGGGTGGAGGACAGAGCATGTCCCAGGTTTGAGTGTTGGGGGGTCTATCTCTCCAAGCCTCAGTTTCCTCATCTATAAAATGGGAATAATAACGGCCACATCTCAGGTTCTTATGTGGATCTAGTGAGAGTGACTGAAGGCCAGTGCTTGACACGTGGTCATGATGGTGTTGTCACTGATTGTTGTGTACTGACCATGTGTTTTTAGCATAGTGTTTTAGCTGCTGTGACAGAGTCCTCAACATTCAAGAACTTAGATAAGATGAAGCTTTATCCGTTTCTCACCAAAAAAAAAAAAAACCCCAGAGAAGCAATCCAACTAAGCACAGAGATGCCACAACACAGACCCTTCTGTCTTGCTGCTCTGCCAGCCTTAAGGTGCAGCTTGCATCTTGACATACAAGATGGCTGCCCCAGCTCCTGCCATCAAACCTGCATTCCAGTCAAGGAGAGGAAAGTAAAGATGATGCACTCCCCTCTAAGGCCTGGAGGTGGCTCATGCTACTTCTGCTCACATCCTATAGGCTAGAAAGGACCACGTACGTGACCATATCTACTATGAGAGAAGCTGGGAAATGTAGTCTTTGGCTGGTAGCGCATGTCCAGATGAACTTCTGTTACCTCAGGGGGTGTTTCTCAAAGTGCCATCCCTACACCGACAGCAACCCTGGGAACCTGCCGAAAACATAAATTCTCAGCCTCACTGGTCACACTCGGGGATTGGAGCCGGCGATTTCCATTTCCACAGTCCTTCAGGTGATTCAAACTCATCACGTTTGAGCATAGTTGCACTGAGGCCAGGTGCGTGGCTCACACCTATAATCCCAGCACTTTGGGAGGCCAAGGTGGGAGGATTGCTTGAGTCCAGGAGTTTGAGGCCAGCCCGGGCAACTTGGTGAGACCCCCATCTCTACAATAAATCAAAATATTAGCTGGGCCTGGTGGCGCATGCCTGTAGCTCCAGCTACTTGGAAGGCTGAGGCAGAAGGATCTCCTGAGCCCAGCAGGTCAAGGCTGCAGTGGCCGTGAGTGTGCCACCACACTCCAGTTTGGGCCATGGAGTAAGACTCCGACTCAAAAAAAGAGAGAGAGAGCGAGAGAGAATAGCTTCTCTGGGAGAGGTGTCAAGGAAGAGCTGGCAGCCCTGCCATACCCGGCCTCCCTCTTGGGGCCTCCCCTCATGGCTTCACCTTGTTTCTTCTGTGGAAATGTGCTGGGACATCCTGCCTTGCATGAGGAGTCAGTGAGGGAGTCTTTGGGAAACAGACGAGTTTGGCCCGTGCTTGGCACATGATAGGGACCCCTGAGGGTGGACCCCTTCCTGCTCATGCCCTGGGATAGAGAGGACTAGGGAGGAAGTTAGGCAGACTGAGAGTCAGGTGGACTGGGAGTCGGTCGTGAGTGGTGTTGGAAGGTCCGGCCCCCCAGGCTTCCTCATCCACACATCGAGGCACCTCAGATGCCCTGTGAGTGCATCAGCCTTTGGGCTGTTAGAAACCCCCACCCCGACAGATTTTTTGACATTTTTTAGAGATGGGGTGTGGCTGTGTTGCTTAGGTTAGACTTGAACACCTGAACTCAAGTGAGCCTTGCATCTCTGCTTCCCAAGAAGCTGGGATTACAGGCACACACCACTACACCCAGCCACCCCCAGATGTTTTTAAGTGGACACCTCCTACATTCTGTCTACTCCCTCAGGAAGCAAAACGAGTGGTCTCATCCTGGACCCTCCCTGTGAGTGGGAACAAACTCAGCAATTATAATTATAGTAGATAACATGTTAGGTGCTTGCTGTCTGTCTAACGTTGTATCAATAGCTTTACAAATACTCCACTCCTTGTGGATGGGACCAGCATTTTTTTTTTTTTTTTAGAGTCGGAGTCTCACTCTGTCACCCAGGCTGGAGGGCAGTGGCACGCTCACGGCCACCACAGCCTCGACCTGCTGGGCTCAGGCAATCCTTCTGCTTCAGCCTTACAAGTAGCTGGAACCACAGGTGGGCATCAGCACGCCTGGCTAATTTTTTGGTCTATTGTAGAGATGAGGTCTCACCAGTTTACCCAGGCTGGTCTTGAACCTGTGGGCTCAGGCAATTCTCTCAACTTGGTCTCCCAAAGTGCTGGGATTATAGGGGTGTGAGCCACCATGCCCGGCCTTTTTCTTTTTCTTTTTTAAAAACTCCTCTGTCATTCCCAAAAGAGCTGCTTTTGACAGGTAGGGAAACTGAGGTTCAGAGAGATGAACTCACGTCTTCAAAGTCACACTGCAAGGAAGTGGTGGGACTGGGATTTGGATCCAGGTGGTCTCAGATCAGTGCTCCTATGACCATTGGTCACTGAGGTAGGTGAGGAAACTGAGGGTCCGAATGGGGGATGGACCTTGGCCCAGCTCCCACAGCAAATCTAAGGCAAGGCTGGGATCGGAACCCAGAGGTCCCTGGAGCGAGGCTTTAGGGGAGAGTCTGGGGGCGCAGACAGGATGTGAGGAGCGCCTCCATGCAGGGCACCCCAATCCTGCGGCTGGAGCCCCCCTGGCTAGCAGGTGGGAGGGACTGGCAGGGTCTTGAGCCCCCTATTCCCTGGCGTCCCTGCAGTGTTTCCCGAGAAGCCCATCACGCTGACAGATGAGTGGAAGGCCCGGCAGCTCCAGCGCATCCTGGACATGAAGGGCAACCCGGTGCAAGGCCTGGCCTCCTGCTGGGACTATGAGAAGAAGCAGTGGAAGAAGTGATGGTGACCCTGGCTCCCTGCAGCTCAGCCCCAGCTAGGGGCCTCTGGCCACCCCCTCCGCCCCACCTCAACCCCAATAAAGCTGGTCTGCTCTCTTCTGCCTCTAACCTCCACTTCAGACTTTACCTGGCGCCTAAAACTAGACCCCATAGTAAGTGAGGGGCAAAAACAAGCCACCTTCCAGGGCTCAGAGCCCTGCTAGTCAGGGAGGGCTTCCTGGAGGAGTGGAGACGAGGCCAAGCCTTTGGTGGGATCAGGAAAGGCAGGAAAGAGAAGGGAAGGGATTCTGGGTGGAGGGAGTGGCCAGTCAATTAACAAGTATTATTTATTGAGCACCTACTGTATGCCAGGTACTAATCCAGACTAGGGGGATGTAGCAGTGAACAAGACAAAGCCTTGGCCTCATGGGAGACATTCCTCTATGGAGGGAGGTCAAGACATGAATAAATAGGCCGGGTGCGGTGGCTCAAGCCTATAATTCCAGCACTTGGGGAGGCAGAGGCAAGAGGATTGCCTGAGCCCAGGGTTGGAGACCAGTCTGGGCAACTTGGTGAGAGCTCGTCTTGACAATACATCAAAAAATTAGCCAGGCATAGTGGTGCGCGCCTGCAGTTCCGGCTACTTGGAAGGCTAAGGCGGAAGGATCGCCGGAGCCCAGCAGGTTGAGGCTGCGGTGGCCATGAGCGTGCTACTGTACACTCCATCCTGGGTGATAGTGAGAATCTGACTCAAAAAAAAAAAAAAGGCCAGGCGTGATGGCTCACACCTATAATCCCAGCACTTTGGGAGGCTGAGGTGAGAGGACTGCCGGAGCCTATCGGTTTGAGACCAGCCTGGGCAACATGGCAAGACCTCATCTCTACAATAAATCAAAAAATTAGCCGGGCATGTTGGTGCCCAGGCTGTAGTTCCAGCTACTTGGAAGGCTGAGATGGAAGGATCACCTGAGCCCAGCAGGTCGAGGCTGCGGTGGCTGTGAGCGTGCCACTGCCCTCCAGCCTGGGTGACAGAGCGAGACTCCACCTCGAAAAAAAAAAGAATAAATAAATAAGTGTCTTAAGTCACATGACACATGGCGGTGAGCGCTGTGAGGAAACTGGGCAGGACAAAGGCGCAGAGTCAAGAGGGAGCTGTGGAGGGGTGGGTGGAAGCCTCTCAGGGCAGGTAGTGCCTCGGAAGAGGGCTGGGTGGCAGGAGGGAGCGAGCATCTGCCAAAGACAGGCAGTGAGTGTAGACCCGGGGGGGTGTGGGGGTGTTCTGATTGTGTTTGTGGAACTTCCAGAAGGCCACTGGGCCTGGTGGGATGACCTGGAAGGTGGGCGAGGCCAGGGAGAAGCTTGCTGAGGGAAGGGTCTGTCCTGGGGTGGAGGCAGGGGACAGAAAGCCAAGTCGAGGACTTTATTCCAAGGATGATGGGAAGCTGTGCCAGGCTGGGTCCTGGGAGGCAAATGTCAAGAAGGAATGAACCATGTGTGGAGATTCCCTGGGGCGATGCCTGGGAGAGACAGCGGGTGTCAGCGGGTGGGGGAGAACGCCCTGGAGCGGGTCTGACTCCAGTGGGAGGGAAGGAGGACCACAGGGAGCAACCTCAGGCTTCAGCGTGTCTGGGTCATCTGGGCCCAACCAGGAGACAGAAACCACACAGTGATCTCAACAGGGGTTGTTTGGTATAAGGATCATGAGCCTGACACAGGAGGGTCACTTAAGGCTGTAGAGAGACATTTAAAAGACAGTCCTAGGAGAATCTCTGAGGAAGGATAGGCTAGGAAGGGGTGTCCTCCACACTGTCGGGGTCAGACCTCATTGGAGAGGATGTGGCTTCCTTAGGGTGGGCTTCCCTGAGGAAGTGTCCTCTGTCCCGAGATATGAAAGGTGACCAGGTGTAAACTAGGTGAAGGGATGTGGAACAGCACTCCAGCCAGAGAGAGACGCACGTGCAAGAGCAGCATGGTGGTGAGAGAGAGGGAGGGAAAGTAGAGGTGGACGGGGCAGGGAGGAGGCTCACACAGGGTTCTGGAGACTCTGCTGCCTCCACTGAAGAGACAAGTCTGAGGGAGGGCACAGAAAGATGCATCTGGGAAAGCATGTTGGGAGCAGAGTAAGAGCCTTGAATGTCAATTCCTCTTACCTGAGAAAGCAATGTCCTTGGCCCTGGGCTCTATCTGGTCAGGAATCCATTTATTATTCACTGCCTTGGGTGAGAGATGCTGGGGAACCAGGGATGGGGGGGGTCCCCCAGCCTGCTGGGTGGAGCTGGCGGGGACAGCCAGTTGGAAGCTACTAAGATGAGGGCAATAGAGACATTCATGGACCCGTGGCTTTGACTCTGATCCTGATGCCTTGGGTACGAGCAGGACGGACAGAACCGAACCTCTTGAAATGTGCAGGGAGTAACACTTGTTTAGATTAATAGATTACTAAGGAATCTTGTTATTGTGGGCAACAAAGAAAACTGTCCAAAGCAACAGAAACACTTTCACAGTTCTTGGCTAGAAGTCCAAGATCAAGCTCGGCAGGGCTGGATTTTCCTAAGGCCACTCTCCCAGGCTTGCAGGTGGCCACCATCTTACTGGTCCTCGTGTGGCCTCTCCCTGTGTGTGGGCCTCCTGGTGTCTCTGTGTGTCCAAGTCTCCTTTTCTCATGAGAACAACAGCCAGGTCCGACTGGTGCCCTTCCTAATGGCCTCACTATACTTAGTCTCCTCTTTCAAAGGCCCTGTCTCTAAAGACAGCCAGGTTCTGAGGCGCTGGGAGTTAGAATGTCAACATACGAATGGTGACTTGCAGCCAGGTGCGATAGCTCACACTGGTGATCCCAGCACTTTGGGAGGCAGAGGCGAGAGGACTGCCTGAGCCCAGGGGTTGAAACCAGCTGGGGCATCTTGGCGAGACCTTGACTCTGCAATAAATCAAAAAGTTAGCTGGGCATGGTGGTGCACACCTGTAGTTCTGAGCCCAGCAGTTATGGAGTAAACGGTGTGAGTCACCATTCTTTTCTTTCTTCCTTTCTCCCTTCCTCCCTTCCTTCCTTCATTCTTAGTTGGGGTCTCATTGTCACCTAGGCTAGAGTGCAGTGGCACACTCATGGCCACCACAGCCACAGCCTTCTGGGCTCAGGTGATCCTTCTACCTCAGCTTTCCGAGCAGCTGGAACCACAGGTATACACCACCAAGCCTGGATAATTTTTTGATTTATTATAGAGACAAGGTCTTGCCAAATTGGCCGGGCTGGTCTTGAACCCCTGGGCTCAGGCAATCTTCTTGCCTCCGCTTCCCAAAGTGTTGGAATGACAGGCACGAGCCACCGCACCCAGTGAGAGGGGACACTCTTAAAACCCCGGCCCCGACAGGCACATACAAAACAGTAGCACACTCTGCTGGCGAGGTGTTCCAGTTTGGACGGCTGCATTAGGAACCACCCTGGAGCTCAGTGTTATACATTTTACTGCTCTGAAAGTCTGAGGGTCAGAAACTCAGGGTGGGCCCAGGAATTCAGGGCACAATGAGAACCACTTGTCTCTGCTCCAGACTGGCAGGGGCTTCTGCTGAAAACGCCCAAAGGCTGTGGCCAGGCGCATCTAGAGGGATTGCCACTCACAACCTAGTGGCTGGTGCTGGCCCTCAGCTGGGGCCTCAGTTGGAGGCAGGGTCCACTGGGTGCCTCTTTGTGGCCTCCGACATGGTGACTTCATGTAGGCTCATGTGGGCTCCCTCAGAGCATGGTGGCTGGTGCCCATGAGCAAGTGTTCCCAGACAGCAAGGGGCAGATGCGTTGCCTCTGCATGATTCCGCCTCAGAAGACACAAGCCATCACTTTTGCCAAAACCGAGTGGTCAGGTGCTCCAAGGTCCACTGGGGCGCAAGATGGAGAGGACACAGACTCCACCGCTCAGTAGGAGGATGCTAGACGTGAGGTGCACATAAGATGGGAAATGGTTGTGGCCATCTTTGGAAAAGACAGGCTGCGACCCAAGGTCAAGACTGACATTGAGGGGCCGAGAAACATCCTCCAGCCAGTGTGCACATGGCAAGTGCGAGGAGGGAAGGCGGAGCTAGGCCAATGCAAGATCCATTCAGATTTGTAAGAATAATTGCACAAAATCAAGTGAACAGATTTTATTTACCACAGTTAAACATTTTTAAAAATTGGCTAGGTGCGATGGTCCATGCTTATAATCCCAGCACTTTGGAAGGCAGAGGTGAGAGGATGGCCTGAGCTCAGGTGTTCGAGACCAGCCTGGGCAACTTGGTGAGAACTCAGAAGACACAAGCATGTGCAATAAATCAAAAAATTAGCCAGGTGTGGTGGCGCATGTCTGTATTCCCAGCTACCTGGAAGGCTGAGGTGGAAGGATCACCTGAACCCACCAGGTCAAGGCCGTGTTGGTCGGGAGCATGCCACTGCACTCCAGCCTGGGCAACAGAGTGAGATTCTGACTCAAAAAAAAAAAAAATTAAAAATCAGACCAAATTGACAGAGACAAAAACTGACCATGTTAAACTGGTTATTGACTAAAGTTCAAATGGAAAAAAATTTGATAACATTTAGATAACTCAGTTTCTCCTGAAAAAAATTGGGCTAGTTAGAAATAATGGACACAGCAGATAGCATGCAATAAAGAAACTGGTAGAATCAGACACGGACTAAAAATGACTGAGAGAAGAATCAAATCTTCTTAGTGGCATTTACTTGAAAGCAATTGATTGGAATAAAAAACTTTGTAAAATCAGTTTTAAAGTAGGAAAATTTAGAAAGACTTTAACTTTGGTTATAGAGGAATTGATCAAGGAGTTAACTTGGCTTCATGCAGCTTGCTCAAGAAACTTTTTCCTGATGTATTAGGTTTAGAAGTTGGGTGCAGTGGTGCATGCCTGTAGTCCAAGCTACTCAGAAAGCTAATGTGGGAGGACTGCTTGAGCTCAGGAGTTCAAGACCAGCCTGGGTAACATAGTGAGACCCTGCCCCTGAAATAAATATTAGGATTGGTATAATTCTGATAAAAAATATCTGGGTTCAGAATTTACAGACAAAATAATCCTGTGGTAAACACATATAACAGGTCAAAA